CTTTTCCAAATATCAGTTCATGCTCTTACCTGAGTCTGTACCAGGGGTGAAATCCAGCAGGTTCTGACAGGTTCTGGAGAACCGGTAGCAGAAATTTTGAGTAGTTCAGAGAACCAGCAAATGAAGATTGCATTGCCTTTGGAGAAGTTGCTTATTTTCTCAGTGCTGATTTAATTTCCTTTTTTTGCTTCAGAATTTCAAGGCCCATAGCTGGTTAACGAGACAACTTTTTAAAGATATATTTCACAGTTCTTTATGGGGTTTCATATATTCACAGTGGTTACTTTACAGATGCACTTCAGCATTTGCTTTGCCTGTTTCACAGATTACATCACTGTTTCCTTGCACAATGCAAGGAAGCAACAACAATGAATGGTTTGCACTGTGTATTAGGCTAGTTTTCCAGTGAAATAAATGCTGGTTTCCCCCTTAATTGCTAATGCTACCTGAGTTTTGGATCTGCTGGCTCTCTAGGCATAGCTGCTTCTCTAACTGTATTTCTGTACCTCAGCTGGCTTTTACAACAGAGCCAATTGTTTTTCAGATAATTGAGATTTCAAGGGTGATGTAATATTTTTAAAACAATGAAACTGAATTTGATGGATGCTCATTCTAGAAATGATCTGGAAATTAACTTTGAAAGAAAAGAAGACTGGCAATGCCCATTTATAAGGTTTGGGCTTCTAGGTAGATAGGTAATTTGTTTGACTTGAATATTATCCTAGTAATGCTTTATAAAATATGTACTATGGAGGAGGAAAGGGCACCCTCTGATTGGTATTTTAACTGTTGCCCTTTCCTCCTATTAGCTTTTGGGTCTTCAATGTATATTTTAGAGAGTTCCCATGAGGACATTTCAAAAGAGCCCACCAAGACTACATTGGCCGGGAGATTAAGGAGCCCGCACAGTGATCTTCCAGAAGGACAGAATTTGTGGTAGCAAAGCCAGCCTACCCCACCCTGCACTTAGTTCGCATGTTGCATCCCTCCCTTAATAAACACAACAGATTGCCATTTTTTAAAATGATTAAATATTTATGCTAAGCAGAAAACATTTTGCATGGTTTTTTAAACAGCTATGTCATCTTGCTCTTTTTATTCTCTAATCTTGCAGTTCTGAATCAGAAGTGAAGATTTTTAGCCTATTTACCAAGAAGTAAATATTATGATGGAAACATCAGACAGCTTAGTAGTGACTTTTAAAAAAGGCAGAGAAAGCATTTTCTGGTAGTGTGTTGTCAATTGCAAACATCCCCTGGGCTACTAATGTGCCTAGAATGATTTTGTTCTAGTAGTCTAATCTTAGCGTGTTTCCAAATAATTGGTTCCTAATGCTATCAGTCCAAAAGTATTGTGTGACTCTTTCCATCTTTCCCTCTTAAAGGATTCTTGGGTGGCAAAAGACAATAAAGACCACAAAACATGAGATGGTTTGAAATATGTCATTCTTGAATTCTTTCCATCTTCCCCTGGTAAAATTCCATCCATGAGACAGGGCAGAACCTCATCACTTGAATATCTTGAGGATAATTATGTCATTTCCATCCCCTGTTCTTCAAACCCACTTTAAAGATGATCTGTGATCATCATCTCTTTCTACAATAAGGAGAAGGGCGGTATATAAATCTAATAAAAGATAAAGATAAAGAAAGAAATATTGCAGTGCTGAATAAGAGCAAACATAACAATCCTAACCACATAACATTGAACTGAACTGCTATGGATTCCACAAAAACACCTACTGGACACAAAAAAGATATATGAATTGGTCATACACCCCTTTTTATCATCCCTATTTAATGTTGTATGCATCTGACTGCGTGCAAAAAAAAAATTCTGAACAGTTCCTATAAAGGGGAGCTGCAAAGCCAACAAAATGTCTATCCCTTTAAAAGACCTCTTAGGGGACCTGAAGCATAGGAGATGAGCAACTGGAGGAACAGTTTTGCATATAGGTCATATAAAGCCTCTACATTTCAATGAAAAGGGAAATTTTACAGCAGTTTTATATATAATCAAGTGAACCAGAATTCAGTCAGTTTAGCTCTTAGACATTACAATTGTTATGGGATTGTATAGTTTCAGAGCAGGCTTTGTCCTGTCTTAGAGTGCTTGTGTTTATCTCGTTCTGCTTGCCTATAATCCAAATCTGATAGTAATTGAGCAGTGGGAGAGCTACTACAGTCGTGAGCCTTTATCCGCAACTCCAGAAGCTTCGGACTTGCAGAGCTCAACATACAAATGAGCGTTTGCACATTTAGCAAACATCTGAAATCAAAACCAAGGTAATTATTTGTAATGATAATACAAATTATCATTAGATAAGCTATGTTTCAGATCTGATGCTTTGCAGTGGATGTTGGTGTACACATTGTATCTGTCAGCACTTCCTTGAAGAAGCGGTGTCTTTTCTTTTGCTTGCCCAGCATCCATACAATTCCAGGAAAATATGACTTTGACTTAAAAAGTGCCAATAGGTGCAACAAGATGCTGCCAGGTCCACTTCAAAGTATGTTTTCAGCTTCAGGGCATGTCCATAAGAATACTTTGAAAAGTATTGTGGACCGGTATTACTGATCCACAATAGAAAGCGTCCTCACTCATTGCATTACGGTGTGGTATGCCAGCTTGACAGCCACGGATAGAAAGACAGTACAGAGGGTGGTGAGCACAGCACAAAACATTGTGGGCTGTCCTCTGATACCACTAGACGACATCACTAGGGCTCACTGCCTTAGAAGAGTGAGGAAAATTCTCAGGGACGACTCTCATCCTGGTCACCACTTCTTCATTCTCCTGCCGACGGGAAGGAGATTTAGAAGCATAGGCAACTGCACAACAGGCTGAAGAACAGTTTTTATCTGTGGGCTGTCAGGCTTCTGAATGGAAAATAACTTTACAACAACATAGTACAATTGACTTGCGTGGCCGGTGCGATGTGCAATAAGTTCACATGGTGCAGTAGGATTGTGTGTTTGTTAGTAGGAGTCACTGGGTTAGGAATTTCTTTTTTTTCCTGTCTTTCACTGTGATTTGTATTGGGTTGGGCGGGTGCACGAAGGGAGGCTCAATGTGCCAATCACATTGTACACATGTTGTACTCTGACAATAAAGGCTTAAATTGGTATGGAATACACAGCCATTTTCTTTCTGCATCTCCATGCAGCACGAAGGTCTATATTTGAAGGATACTTTTAAAAGCTCATTTGCAGGGGCTGAGAAGAGCCATTGGGAAACTATCAGAAGAGAATGAGGAAGATTTTGGCAGAGGAGACAGATCAAAATAACTGTTTAACTGTGAATTCCCCATTCATAGAGTTAAAACATCAACATTGGGTGGGTACAAAATTAACTATCCCTGGTCTTGGCTCTCATTTTTTCTCCAGCTATTGCTAGAAAGAGACATTGGTCAGGTGGGGAGGGCAATTAATGTAGTAGTCTTGGATCATTCTTGTGAGATGCCATTGCCCTAAGGGTTGAAGACTATGGTAGAGTTCTTTGTGCCCTCACCCCTTGCAGTACATGTCCCTGGTACATGAAATAACTGTGACTGAATCATTATACAGATAAAAGTACATAAATTGTACTGCAGGAATTCAGCTGAAAGATTGTGTACATGGAAATACCAAGCAAATTTGAGGAAAAAAATACTGCAGACATTTAAAAATAGACATGGGTTAAAAACAAACAAGGAGTAAAGCTGCATGAACATCCTGCCCTAGTTTGAGAGAATAATAAAAAGACTAATTGAACTTCAGGATATGTTATCCTCTTGGATGGATGGATGGATGGATGGATGGATGGATGGATGGATGGATGGATGCAGGAATGCAGGGATGCAGGGATGCATGCATGGATAGATGATAGATAGATAGATAGATAGATAGATAGATAGATAGATAGATAATAAATAGATAAATAGATAGATGATAGATAGATAGATAATAAATAGATAAATAGATAGATGATAGATAGATAAATAATAAATAGATAAATAGATAGATGATAGATAGATAGATAATAAATAGATAGATAGATGATAGATAGATATATAATAAATAGATAAATAGATAAATGATAGATAGATAGATAGATAGATAGATAGATAGATAGATAGATAGATAGATAGATAGATAGATGATAGATAGATAGATGATAGATAGATAATAAATAGATAAATAGATAGATGATAGATAGATAGATAGATAGATAGATAGATAGATAGATAGATAGATAGATAGATGACAGACAGACAGACATAGACCTTTAGATTTAAGTCTTTTTTCAGCTGGCTAGACAATAATTTAAACATGTTTTTTGAACTGGGTAGAGTAGGGAGAACTTTGCAACTACTGGACTCACCCAGAACCTGTGTTTTCAATATAAATATTATAAAACCATATCTGCACATAAAACCTGGCTTTGGTGAGTTTTTGACCATTATTTCTGTGACATCTGTGAATTTATTAATACCTTTTATGTGTAGTACTAGAATAACAGACATAGTAAAGAAGAGGGAGTCTGACACAGAGCCTCACTGCCAATTACAAATCTCTGCCATTCCAAGTCCTTGGAATGTAGTTATTAAGCTCCCTGGTAGAAGCCTTGTCCCTATGCCGCTCTTCTTTTTTGAATTCTTGGTTGCAACAGCTCAGCAAGAGTTAAGCAGGAGTCTTGTTGATATTTCAGAGTTGCTTTGAACCCCTGCAGTCAGAGGGAGGGAGCGCCTTGATTGGCCAAGTTCCTGTTGGTAGTAATAGCGGATCAGATATCAAACTTCTGTCTTTCCTAAGGACCCTTTAGGGATAGTCTGCTCCCTGCTAGACTATGACATCAGTCAGGACACCCGGTGATGTTGCTGATAGTAAACTTTGAGAAAGGAGGGGAGGGGGTGGATAGGAAGGAGGGGTCTGCTTGCTGAAGTTAACTAGCCCAACACAGTGCAAAGGCATGCAGTATGTTTCCGTGGCGGGTTAGTGCTGGATGAGACCAAACTTCCCAAACTCTTCTCCTGCTTTTTGCAGTCACCTATACTCCAAGGAGAGCTAGATGAATTGTGATCCTTTGGTTGTGGTCAGCTGCTCTTTTTGGTGCCGGTTTATGATTTGAACCGAGGGGCTTTCTGACCCTGGGAATTTTCACAAGACTTCACCATGACACTTCTGGGGTCTGAGCACTCTATGCTGATTCGGAGCAAATTCAGATCAGGTAGGGCTAACACAGCGAGAATTTCTCCTAAAACTTTCTTTTTCAGTGAACCTCAGCTAGAGGCTGTTTCTCATTAAGCAGCATGCAAGTAAAATAACCAAGGAGTTGTAAAGCTGTCATAGGCTTGCTATCACAGAGGCTGTTCAGTAGACGAGGAATGCGTTTCTATCTGTCCTTTTTATCTGCTCCCTCTCTTTCTGTTCTTTCACTGTTTACAATTTATGTCAATAGTCTAGCTTACTAAAAAAAAAAAAGAATTCAGCTATCATTCTGAAGTCTCCTAATCTAGGAGAAATTATATATATATATATATATATATATATATTGTGTGGGTGTGGGTGTGGGTGTGGGTGTGGGTGTGGGTGTGAGAGAGAGAGAGAGAGAGAGAGACAGAGAGACAGAGAGACAGAGAGAGAGAACTGGATCAGAAATCCATAAGGCTGGTTGTTAAATAAGAGTATCTCCTCCCATCTGTTCAAGTCAGGTGCTGTCCTGTGTATGCCGGCCCTAATGCTTTATTCCAACGTCTAGGCAGCCAGCTTTCTTTCCTTTAGAGTTGTGACTAATTGGACAAACATGAATTGCAGAAAGGCATCATTTTTTTTAGAAGTACAAATAACAAATGGAACATGCAAAATATTTAAAATGACATCACCAGAGAAATAAAGCTAGAGGCAAGCGACCGATTGCCATTTTCTGAAGCTTTGCTACAAAAAACATGTACCAGATCTCCACAGAGCATTGAAGCCCCATTCAGGGCTTCTTCTTTGCGGACCTACAACAGGAACAAAGGTGAGTGATGGTGAACAAGGACCAGAGACCGTCAATTGACTAAGTAGTAGCATCTGTAAAATAGCATCATGGTGATTTTGAGGGAGCGCATTATCATAGCATACAGGGGAAAGGAAGATTCTTCTGCACACACTTGTCTTGATATTTTGTTTTTATTGGCTGTTACAAAAACAATTACCACTTTTGAAAGCATTCCGTTCTTGCCACCCAAGGATGTCTCTTATGTGTGACCAATGAATGCACAGCACACTCACATTCTGCATTTGTACGGTGCAATTCATTCCAGAATGTCACCCACTCGATATGGGAAAGGGAGATGGTGGCAGCTGGGTTTGATCTCTGCTACATCAGAGATAACGAGGAGATCAGAAGATTCCTGATGCTAATGCACTCGGGTACTATCAGGACGTGTGAGACAGCTGGGTGGTCAGTTGCAATGTTTGCTTAGAAAATAGAAAATTGGCAGCAGCTTAAAAACTCCAGAGAACTGTGTACAAAAGTAAGAGGCTTTGCCTGGCTCGGTTCTCCATGATTTGGGATCAGTGCTTTGCTGTGGTTTCTCTATCAATGTGATCTTACATTTCATGAGAATAACTCATTCCTCACAATCCATTAGTAGACTGTCTTATGCTAATGGTACAGAGCCATTCACTGAAAAAGAGAAGGCTTGATCTGTAACCCAGGAATCCCAGAGCAACACTGCCATCTTCCTGAAGCAAGCAGGAGAGATGGGGATAAGTCTCTGAGCCACCGCATTCCTCTAGAATGAGCCACTATTGTTTTTAAGAGTCATTTATGTGTTATTTTTAAAAGCGGGGGTGTTGGGGGTATAGAGATTACAGAGCTGATGATAGGATCACAGAACATAGTTTTCAAATGATTCCAGGCTAAAAGTAAACTTTATGACTCTTTGAGACCCATACATTTTGTTCCTTTTAGCTTTTCTAACGGAGTCAGTTTATGGGGCATGGTTCCAATCCAGATTCTCTTTCCAAAAATGTAATTACCCTGTACTTGTTTTAGGACAATGACACATGCAATGTTGGGGTAACTGTGCCCATCTTATTTTCTGGAGAACTCTTTCTATGAGCTGTACAGACAACACCAACGAGCGTTTCTCCCTAAAGCTAATATTTTAGAAAACTAATGTCACTTAAACATGATGTTGCTGGGTCAGAAATGCTGTAAATGCATTTAGTAGTTTTTGTCATTAACGTATTGAGGGGAACAATACGTATCTTTTCTTTTATATAAAGCCGAGAGTCAACCACTAGTTGAATCACAGTGCTTAAGAACTTAGCTATGATGTGAACAGTCCCTCTGGTTAATTTGGTGCTTGGAGTGATTCTCCTCAAAGTGAAGGAAAAGTGCTACCTACAGATTGTGGCTTGCTTGTGACATCCAGTTCCTGCCACAGGAAATGTAGCAAAGACACAAAGGTGAATGATGGTTCTTCTTTTACTTTTTTAAAATGAGCTATAGAACTAAACAACCAGAGAAATTGTTTTCCCTCATCTCGGCTTTCTAAATTTAACAATTATTTGCATTCTTTGTGCCTGATACTGGTTTTATAGAATGATTGCATATCCACATAAATGAAAGAAGTTGTCAATAAGGCAGTTACTTGCTAAGAAAGTGTTTCATTTCTTGAAACCCCAAGTTGCTTATAGCGGCAAACAGCTTTGTCATTAAAACAGATCAACGAGATGGCATCTGTATGAATGGCCCAGTTCTCCCTGGGGTAGGAGAGGTGTGTCAATGCTATTCAAGGAGGGCAGTTAGTAAAAATCAAATATCTACATCTAGAAATTTCTTTTTTCCTGATACCTAATTTCTAGGCAGACAACATATTACTCTAGGAGAATGCAGGCCAGGCATTGTGCAGACCAGACATTGTGCTACCATCTCAGTGGTACTAGAGTAATGTGAAGCACATAAGGTACACAAAATTAATTCAGTGTTCAGTGCTTGGATTCTTGGGAATCCTGTGATCGTCAGTGAAACTTACAAATCCTTAACTTATTGTAGTAGATATGTAGATGTCTATTATCTTGAGGAAAAAAACCCCACCCTAACCTATATCTGGTTGATTCAAATGAACATTGGATGGTTTTCCATCTGGATAGAAGAATTGTTGAAACATATGTTCCAACTTTACAATTTATATTTTTAATTTGTATATCTCTCTGAAAACTTAGTTTATTGGCTAGATTTAAAATGGCGATAATAAAAACACTCATAATTTATATTCATTACTTACCACATTGTGCTTATAACTAAGCATTTACAAATTCCTGTTTTCTTACCACTGTCACTTCTCTATTACAGCTAATTAAGACTTCTGAGTTTCATTCATAGTGCTAACAGCTTGCTGGACTGTGCAATATGTTTTCTTATGAGGGAAAAGTAACAAAAATATATTGTAACATCGTACATTTTACAAAACAGTAACGTGTCCTGCTGTCTTATAAAATTTAAAAACAAATTTATCATTGTTTTAGAGTACATCCTGAGGACATATTGGATTCTTATGATGACTAATTGAAATAATTACAGAATACAGACTTAAGTGTCAATTTAGGTGGCAACCTTTCATTTTTGTAATTCCCTGTGAGTTCATTAAATTATTTATGCATTCCTTATTTATTTAATAAATAATAGCCAATAATGGCATTCTCCTTTTACATGTGTGGGCAAGTCAGAAGAAGGGACAAATGGTTTTTATTCGACATGCAAGAAGGATATGTCGCCTGTATTTGACTAATTGTACACTTGGCTTTTAGAAAAGCATTCACATAGCAAAAGAAAAATGGCATTTCCATTACTCTAGTTGTTACCATTGTTTAAAAAGGAGTGATATCAAAATAAAAGTCTTGGACTTTTTCTGTCAATAATGTTTTGGCGATGGTCATTTTATCTATTTATGCGACCCCCACTCTGGTACCCTATTTGCTCATGCATTGAAGAATGCATTGGGATAATTATTTATGGGATAGTCTAAAGATCAGGTTCCTTGACACTGTCTTGGATGTTTTGGTAATCTTTCAGGTGAATCTCTGTAATTATATATGTTATAGGTTGGATACCTCTAGTAGTTGAGAAGCTTCCCCAGCACAGAATGCATCAGTTTGAATTTGGTTGTCCATTCTAAGTGACCTTCCCTGTTTCCAGATCAAATTCAAGGGGTTGATCTTTCTTTTTAAAATCCTAAATAATAGGCAGGCATAACTAAAGAATAATTTTGTTCATAGATTCCCCCCGCCTTGTTTTAGAGTCAAATGTAGAAACGCTGATTTAAAAGCCATCCCATACTCAGCTGAAATCATTTTCCCCTAATTGTAGGACTTCCTCTGGAGTAACACCTTATTATAGAATGTTCTCCTGTGACAAGTTCACCTGTCTTGAAAATTGACAGGAATAAATCATATTTTGACAGGCCTGTTGAGCTTTCCTTTGTTTAGCTCTTTGGTTTTTCTAGGACTTCATTCATAATAAGTTTAATTTTAATTGCTTCCTACTTTGATAATATTAACATGAACATTATAAAGCCAAAAATCTCATTACAAATAAATAAATAAAACGATAACGGTAGGTGGAGTTCTGCCAAGCTCATGTCAAGGAAAAAGCAAGCAAGTTTCGCTTACAGTGAGAAGTGCTTCAAATGCCATTGGGACAGACTATCCACTGCTCTGAGTGGGGTATCAATCTGAAATGGACTCAGCAGTCTTGCAGGCATGGAGATTTTTTTTCCTGTCCTTCCATTTCCATAAAGTGAAGAAACTACGGTGCATGCTATTTTGTCTATTTTGCCAAAGATAAATAAATAAATTAAAAAACTCTGAGGTCATCCTGACAAATTTCACAGAAACAATGATTCTTTTGGCCTGGCTGCCAGGTTCCAAGTATCAATGGAATTGTATTAAATCAAATGGGACAAACATTAAGTGGTTGGCCCAAGAACCCTCCCCCTAACTGTTTAACTTTTCCTGGAGGTGGAGGGAATCATTCCAGAGAATTGTTGCTCCCAAAAATACATGTTCAGATAGTATCGGACTGCTACAACTAGACGATGCAACTTGGGAGACTACTTAAGAGTTCATCTCTGATCTGCTAGCTATCACTGAGGGTTCAGGTTGGTGACTGGTGCTTGACTACATGGGAAGTTATGATATTTAGGCTTGCGGGTTCAGCCTTACTGGCTAAAGAAT